TATCCTATACCTGCACAGGATTTCATGAAGGATTTTGGTTACTTTTGATGTACTTTTTATTACTTTTTTTTCAGGGTTTTTGATTTGGCATAGGTTTTCAACTCCAGATGCCCTTCCTGAATCCTGACTATTTTCCTATCCTGACGTTTTTCCTCACTATAAACAGATTTAAATGCAACATCTCAAGATATTTTATGTTACTGAACTAGTTAATATTTAATGAGATCCCGCACATATCACATCTACACCTGGGCTCGACCGGGACTCGACCGGGACCAAATTCTGACCAAACTGCGACTAGACCGGGACCAGACCTGGGCCAGACCTGGGCCAGACCGGGACTAGACCGGGACCAGACCGGGACCAGACCGGGACCAGAACGGGACCAGACCTGGACCAGACCTGGACCAGACCTGAACTTGGCATGGACTCGACCGTGACTAGCCCTGTACCACGAGGACATGTATGATGTTTGCAGTGTTAGGGCAAGTGCTCCATTCATGCAGATGGAAGCCTTCTGTTGTGCGCCCTGTTTCCCTCATCACTTTATGCTATTGAACATAAGCATTAAATTGTATTACAAAGTGTTCTCTTGTAAGTAAGAACCTTTGTGTTTGTAAAGCTGTCCTTTGTCCTCTGAGCCAAAATCCAAATGCTGCTCGCTCTCTGCATCAATTAGTAATTTTATTTTTTACAGTACAGTGACATTTGAGCAGTAGAGGGTTGACTGTTACAGTAGTCTTAAAAAAAACATGAGCATATTGCAAAATTAATCAAAAATATCACACTACCCCCCCCAAAGTCATTGTTCCTTCTTTCATATTCTGAACAATAAATTACGTATCTCGCTGTATCTGACCCAAACTCTACCCATAAGATGACACCTGCACAGGAGTACAGGAAAAACAACTATTAAATGCAGAAAAAAAAGTACCAAACCTTTATCTACCTCACTCACTCGCTCACTTTTCCTTTCTACTGTTGTCTCATTAAAAATCCTCATCTAATCCTAGTCTAAATTAAGGTTCTAGTTTATACAAAACTGACTCTTATACTCTAATACTGTTACCTCATCAGAAACATACCTGGACTTGTGTTTTGTTTCATTCACATCTGCTTTGTCTGTGTTTTGTCTACATCTCCTAAGCTCAAAATGCTCTGTTCTATCTTATGATGTCATGTTTGTGTGTTAAACATGTGGCAATGAAACAAAACACAACTCCAGGTATGTTTTTGATGAGGAAACAACATTATAACATAATATGAGTCCTTTAAAATGAATTGGGTTAGGTTTTTTTTGGTTGACTGATATTAAATGAGTAAAGACCCTAACTGGAAGAAACTCTACATTCTGACCTTGCAATTTAATCTGAGGAGAAATCATTCTTTGAGACGTTCTTCTCAGGTTAAAATCTAAAGCAGCGAACCATTTCTTCCACATTACCTGTATTTTCATATTTCAGCATTTAAACAGATGGCAAAAGACTCCGGGCCCTGCTATTTTAGGCTCATTGTAACTGGATACAGTACTAAAAATAGTCCATCATCTGTAGGTCACATCTGCTGCTGCTTTAGTTCAGATACTTCATAATTTTCATTTTGAACAAACTGCCAATATCCTGCTTAGGAAAAATGCTGTAGTCGTTCTGTTAAAGGTTACGAGGAAAAGCAATCATTCTCAAGTTGTGGTTAGAGTATTGCGTCAGACCTGGTTTAGTCCTGGTTGTATTTTTCATCTTGGTTTTGGGCAAAGGGCTGGTTCCAAATCTGTCCTTTAATCCTGGTTTAGCTCTGGTTTTGGTTCCGCTTAAGCTTCAGCCCGTGTAGTAGTGTGTTGTAAACAGACTTGTGTTAGACCTAGTTTACTTGTGAAAAGGGCTGTACCCATTTTTCATGTAATAAAGTAAAAGTAAAGTACGTCTTGCCCCAGTAGAGATATTTTGTGAAAGCAGCTGCTACGGTCAAAATAAGATCGCTGCGGGGTTTTTTTGTATACAATTCTAAAACATTTTACCACCCGCAAATCAGGAATTGTGTTGTTAGCATGGTAGTTGCTGGTTTTACAGCAGAACTCCACTCTGGCGTCTGAATGTTGTGCAGTGGTGTAGTGGGGATTTTTTAAGAGGGGGTACTCAGTTCGTGACTGAACCAGGAGGACTGAACCAGGACGACTGAACCAGGAACCAGGACTGAACCAGGACTGAACCAGGACTGAACCAGGACTGAACCAGGACTGAACCAGGACTACAGCTCCGGGCCCATCCCAGTACTCAGTCCTGGTTTAGACCTGGTTTAGTCTTGATTCAGTCCTGGTCCGTCATCTCGCAGGTCACTATAGGGCAGTAGTGCAGGTATCCTGAGCCTATGCAGTTTGTTTTCATCATTACCAATAGCTCCGGTTTGACATTTAAGTTCAAGGCTATTTTATATTTGTTATTTTTTTATATCTCACGTCGGGAGAAGTGGGTGGACGGCGTACTCCCACGTACCACAATAACTACATCCCTGATGTTGTGAAACTGAGCTGGTGCAAATAGTTTGAAATGAACTAGCTTCTCTTTTCAAGTTTTTAAAATCAGCTACAGTGCCATTATTACCCAGTATGGATATGGGCCTCACTAGGTACATAATGCATTTTGTAAAGATTTCAATCTCTATTTCGATACTAAGGAATTTACTCAACACTGGATACCGATTACGATACAATGAAGATAAACAATTCTATTTTTTAGTAATAGAATGTTCATATACAAAAAATAATAGTACTTCTTAGCATGAGGTCTTATATTCATTCTGATAAAGCTCAAATGTATACTAAACTGTTCAGGAAAGCTCAAATTCTGTCCTGTAAATGTGATTTTTTTTAGTATCGCTACTTGCTCAAATCTTGTTTTAGGACTTCCGACAGCCCTACTACCAATACAAACATCTGCTAATTAAGAACTTGTTGAAAAAGGTAAGACTATTTTGTAAATGTCACGTAAAAATGCACTGGTGTACGTCATAGGGACACACAAACTCACCACACCACGCCTAAAACCATAGTAACCACCACAGCACAGAGACAGACAGACAGAAACAGAGAGAGAGAGGAAGGAAATACTTAGAGAGAGAATACAAACTCACAAACTCCATTTAAGGAAAAGCACTGCGCGTTTGTCCTGGAGTGGAGAGAGCGCAGCCTCTGCCCACAATGCACCAGTGTACAGGCTCAACCGGGGTAGCATTTTGTGGATGTGGATTTGAATGGAGCTTTGTTACACGCTGAGACAGGCAGGGGCAAGAAATGAGGGGCAATAATGAGTGGCTTTCTTTGCAATAATTTCCATAACCTTATCGATTGGGGCTTAGTGATATGAAAAATAATCATAACAGTTATTTTTTTCTATATACATTTTTGATGTAAATACATTTTACTACTATAATACAAAAATGTCAGAACTTGCATATGACAGGTTAGACTATTCATTTCACTAAACATGGTTAACATCATTAGTAGGGGTGTAACGATATCCAAGTCTCACTATATATCGTCACTGTATGAATCTCACAGTACGATATTTATTGCGATAATGTGGGGAATATGTGGGGAGGCTCACAATTAGAGATGTAACAATATCCTAATCTCTCGGTACGATATTTTGTGCGATATTTTATGGAGGCTAACAAAACTGTTAATATGCTACTTTTTCCTCTTAAAATGCCTTGACAAGACTCAATCCAAAGAACGAAGACTTAAAAGTGCTTAGAACTGTTATTTCTTCATGTAGTCTGCACTGAAATGGAGCAAAGGATCATGGTCTTTTAGCTATTGCTGCACCATAACTCTTCATTAAGCAAAGAGACTTGTAATTCGATATATTGTGAGGGTCCATGATTTTATTGTGAGAACTTTGACAATACGATATCACGATATTTTGGTTATTGTTACATCCCTAATCATTACAGTTTAGATGTGACAATAAATATTGCCTAGTTTTTATTGTTTTTGTTGTATTTGTGAATTAATAATTTAGTTTTAGTTTATATTTATCATAAGCTTATCATTTGACTTCCTGGTTGGACACAGGCAGCACATGTGACATAAAGCAACCACGAGGTTAACAAGGACCAAAACGTGACTAAATTACACAAGTTATGACTAGATTAGTCAAAACACATGACAAGGCCTTTATTTAGTTAAATTAATGTTTAAACTGTCAGAAAAATGCCTTATTGAGGGTAAAATGTCTTTGCATTTTGGTTAGAAGTGATGTTGATGTTGTGATCAGTTGATGATATAGAGGTTGTTATCAATTTATCCTTCTGCCTTCTTCACAAACTGCTATTTAACTGATGTAAAATTATGATGAATGTTTACCTCATATACTATCTCACCAAAGCAAATCATAATTAGAAAAATATATTAATCTGTCAAATGCACTTTAATATAATTTTATGCACATGAACATGGCTTTTAGTTAGTGCACACAAAATAGTTAGTTAGTGCACAGAAAACAGTCAATTAAATTATTGAATCTTGGTCTTGATTAAAGTGTAATTAATTAAAATCGTCCCTTGTTTGGTGATGGTTGAGAGGAAATGTTCTGCTATATTAGCCTATTGCATCCGTTTAACAGTGTGACACACTCTTGATAATGTCACTCATGTTATATCGAAATTGGTAATTCCTCTTTCAAATGGTGCTTTGAGGAAGTAACCATTGTTCACACGCTAAATCAACCCTTTTTGTGATTTTATTCCAGTCTCTCATCCAAAATCCACCATAATTACTTCTCTCTCTCACAGACTTGTGTTCTCTGGCTTTTCACACTGTGTGAGTTGTGTGGTCCTCTGTGTCTATTATTTTTATGTGTTATTTATACTTTTGCTCCTATTTGATTTTACTTATTCAATTGCTTTAATGGGTACTACTGGACTGGATCCATTTTATACACAACATATTTCTTTTCATCCATTTTACACTTTTCAATCATTTATGTGTTATTGTTTTATTTCAGGCGGAGGCTCGGTTGGCGGCGAAGCGGGCGGCCCGAGCGGAGGCCAGAGAGATCCGTATGAAGGAGCTGGAGAGGCAGCAGAAAGAGGTAATACACACATAGCACACATAACACACTTGACAAAAACCTACGCTGACATTTTTGAAGTACCATAAAAGCTGTTAACCTTGTAGTATAGATTTGTACAAACATGTTCTGAAATGTGATTCTTGTAATTCTTTGTCTTTGTTCTTAACTTGAATCTAATTGCAATCATAATGCCTGTCATAAAAATCACAATGAGATATTTTTCCCAAATCGTTCAGCCCTACTTTATACTAAGATGACTGTTATTGAATATGATAGAACATAAAGGGACAGACTCAGGATATTTAAGCTCAGAGATAATAACGGCAGTAACACAGTATGATTTTCAGTTTATATAAACCATAACACAGCGATTGGAATAGAAATAGGTTCCAACACGTTACAACTATGAGTGCCCGCATGTCAAGCCTTGATATCTTTGTAAGGGAAAAAAAAGAACATGTTTTCTATTTAAATGTCACTTTTTTTTATAATTCATGGGACATCAGTGAAAAAGTGGGACATTCTTAATTAGTTGAGTGAGAGACCGTGGACTTTAGTTCAGGACAACCAAGAATGCACCGATTCAGCTTTTTCGGTTCCAATAACGACTTTGATACTTTAGCTAAGTATCTGCCAACACCCAATTCAACTGATACCATTGCAGAGACTGAAAACAGCATTTATTTCATTAAACAAAAATAAAATAAGAGAAAACAGATCCAAATCTGTAGCTTTTATTTATCTCTCAAGTAACTACTGAACAAATTTGCATAAGTGAATTACATTACAAGACTTTTGGGGTGACTATGACCAGTAAACAGTCTTATGATATCTCTGTGTATGTTCAACCAGGATATCAACTGAACCGATATTTGGAGGGCCGGTATCTGATCCAGCACATTTTTCAGTATCAGTGCCAGTATCTTGATACCTGTATCGGAATGGTGCGTCCCTAACCAAAAGAGAGAGAGGTGAAAACATACTTTATACATTGATTTAGTAGCACCCTAAGTGAACCCTGAAGCATTATATCATATCACAACTTTTGGGGTCAAAGTTCAAAGGTGAACATAAAGTGCAAGGCTGGAGATTTCCTGAGTGTTAATCTGTAAATGGTGTGAGAGGGACAGAGTTTATCATGAAAGGGAGCAGGAGGTCATGTGATATCTAGGGCCAGTGTTGAGAAAGCTGTGTAATCTTATTTGCTTTCATGATAACTAATCTTTTAAAAAACTATTTTTCTTTTTAGTTTGTACATGGATTGACATAACAAACAACAAATAGGATATTTTAATGTATCTTCCTATTCATAGATGTAATAAAATGTAACTTTAAAGATCACATAGTACACCAAATTAACTCATGTGAGCTTTTAGCCACTTTATAAAGTCGTTACCTCATTTAAACAGACCTGGGGTTGTGCTTTGTTTTATTCACAAATGTGTGGGTAACTCTCGATTATCACATATCTCCAATGCTCTGTTCCACCTTGTGATGTCATGAAGCTGTAGATTTCATGTTAACAGCTTCATTTGATCTTTTTTTCAGTAGAAATAAGCAATTCCAGGACTGAAATTATCCAAATGATTTTAGTGAAAGTGTATGGAGTTTAAAAACACTGTTTTTTTGTTTGAGAGAGGAACTCAGCCTAAACCAATATAGCCCTACTAGCCCATCCCTACTAAATCCAGTATATTTCAACATTCCAAATTCCAATTGATTATAAATGTTTAGTTTTAGAATCAAAGGAAAGTACCCACAAAACCAACGTTAAGTTTTTCCACTGCCTTTGGAGCCAAACTAATCATCTTTAAACGAACCCTGTCCAATTGATCGCTGTCCAAAATAGGAAATACTCTTAAGATTTGAAGCTATAAAACTCTGATTAAAATGCCCAAAGGAGGAAAGTACTATAAATACATGCACAAGTTACCACTAAATTTTCAATGTTATGTCCACACTGTCATTCTACAGGCAAAGATGGAAAGTGGCTTATTTTGAGGGTTGTCTGAAAATTGTGGGTCTTGTTTAATCAGTATGAAGCTGCTTGCAAAATCAAAGCTTATCATCATTAGTATTTCTAAAGTAGAATTGTAAGATTTTAATCCATACTGTGGTGTTATGATACAAATGTTCAATCTCAAAGGAAATAATCAATTCTTTTGTGATTTTGACACCACAATAATACAATACAATAGAATTTTTGACTTGACTCTGGGGGAAAAAAGTGTATATATTAAAAGTTGCTAAGGTTTAATCAGTTGTGTGGTAACTTATTTACAATATGTTTCTGAAATTTTATAAACCACTAAGTTATTAAAACATTTCATCAGTTTGAGTTTTGACTGAAAACTACTGTGTTATTGCCTTTTTAAACTCTTAATATTAGAATTTTTGGAAAAGTCTTTGGGGAAAATCGGAGGAAATTTTTACTTTCCAACCTCTGCAAATTTGAAGTTAGCAGGACTGTTCCATATTGTCCAAAAACATATAGATGTGTTGCAATTTTTAGTATCTTCGTATTTTCCCTCAAAAATCCATAAATTTCCTTGTTTTCCTGAATGGTTGCAGGTGGTTGTGTTGAGACAGGTGCAGATCTGAACTCGTGCTGGTCTCACTGAACTTACAGTAGTGTGAACCACAGGGAGCCTCTATTCTTAGACCAGAGTAATCCCATACACACAAACACTCCTTCACCTGTTTCCACTATACTGTGATTTATGCTCTTTTAATGAGTTTGAACGGGCTGTACCCATTTTCTTTCATGTTATAAAACAAAATTTGTCTTGTCCCAGTACAGATATATTGTAGAAGCAGGAGCAGGAAGTGCTCTGTTGGCATGCTACTTGTTGGTGTTACATTGATGGCGAAACTCTGCTCTGGACTGTGAAAGATGTGAAAAGTATTGATAAACTCATGTTGGCGAATAATTAGGATGCTCAAAATGCATACAGAAAGTGAGGAATAAGAAGTTGTAGTTGTTGTAGTTGTAGTGGTTTAATGGTTGTTGTTGTAGTTGTAGTGGTTTAATTGTTGTTGTTGTTGTAGTAGTTGGTTTAGTTGTAGTAATTATTGTAGTTTGTTTAGCTGTAGTAGTTGGTGGTAGTAGTTGGTTTAGTTGTAGCAATTGTTTTAGTTGTAGTAGTTGTAGTAGTTTGTTTAGCTTTAACAGTTGGTTAAGTTGTAGTAGTTGTTTTAGTTGTAGTAGTTGTTTTAGTTGTAGTAGTTGTAGTAGTTGTAGTAGTTTGTTTAGCTTTAACAGTTGTTTTAGTTGTAGTAGTTGTTTTAGTTGTAGTAGCTGGTTTAGTTGTAGCAGTTGGTTTAGTTGTAGTAGTTGTTTTAGTTGTAGTAGTTTTAGTTGTAGTGGTTTAGTTTAGCAGTTTAGTTGTAGCAGTTGTTTAGTTGTAGTAGTTGTAGTTTAGTTGGTTTAGTTGTAGCAGTTGGTTTAGTTGTAGCAGTTGGTTTAGTTGTAGTAGCTGGTTTAGTTGTAGTAGCTGGTTTAGTTGTAGTAGCTGGTTTAGTTGTAGTATTTGTTGTTATAAGCTGCTCCAGTCTGTGTGCCTATATATGACTCCCTATATGTTGGCTGTATGTTTACACAATCATGCAGCACATTGTTTTATATGCCAGATAAATACATTTGGGCCTTACTATGGATCTTAAAATTTTAAAGACCATCCCATATTACACTATTTTTTCTGATCTGTGTTATAATGTTGTTTCCTCAATATTCAGCCCTGGAATTGCCAATCTTTACTTGAATAAAAAGTAAAATGTATCTTAACTTAAAAACTGCCTCTTGGTGACATCACAAGGTGGAACAGAACCTTTTAAGATTTGGAGATGTAGACAGATTAATAATGAAGCGTTATTTACATAGATATGTGAATGAAACAAAGCACAACTCCAGGTAACAGCATTATAACATCATGGCTAAAAGAAAATCTCACAAGAGTCAGTTTTATGTAATATAGGACCTTTAATTTTATTGGAAAATATTGCGTATCTCCGACAGCAGCAAGAAAAATCCGCAATTGGACTATCCCTAATCTAAACATTTAATCCTGGTTACCTGTAAAGTCTTTGGTGTTTCTTACTGTAATGTTGTCAAAACAGCCCGTGGAGGTGAGTGGGTCATATGCTGTGGATTACTGTGGTCAGGATCAGAGCAGGAGCCTGTCCCTTTAAACCTCCAGACGAATTATACAGCAGATTAGCAGCTCATGGTTTCAACCACGCAACACCACACTGTAGTGCTGCTCAGGTTTGTTTTGATACCAGACGTGGGACAGAGACCTCAGAGACTTTGGAATATTTTTACATACAATTTACATGGTTTCGTAAAGTTCTGAAATTGCAACAAAACCTACAATACAATTTTTTTTATACATTTACCAGAATAAGATGCTGCGTCAATACTGGCCATCAATTTTGGATTCTGGCCGTTTACGTATTTTTTGGATGGCTTTGAACCTTTGAATTGTTTTGATTAGAGCAATGGGAAAGACCGATCCAGGATACCACCTGGATTTTGGAAATGTTGGGTTGAGGTGAATTTTGGACAAACTTTCAAACTTTCATGAACAAGTCAATTTTGGATAATGATTTCCTAATGATTTTACTTGTCCTTGAAATTTTTATATTTAAAAATGTTCGTTTCATGTTAAAGATGAAACGGAAAGCGAAAAGATATACCTGATTTTTTTTATATTTTGAGATGCTTTCTAGATGACCAGCAATTTTGGATATAAAAGCTTATTTGACTGGCTGTAAACCGGGACATTTTGATACTAGAAATGGGACAGAACACTCCAACCTATCTCCTGACATTTGGACATTTATATTGAGTGAATATATAGGACAAACTTGTGCACTGTCTCAATGTTGACCAGGGATTTTGTAAGTGGACTTTTTGAATGAAGCCTGCTTGGTGTTGAATCACGGCTGGTCGGAGGTTAGCAGGAAGGGGGCAAAGGGCTGCCCTCTCAGAACGCCCTGGGACCCCCCCAAACTACGGG